TGCTACTCCAACGCCGCCGCCGGGAGTAGCCGGGCAGCGAGTTTCAACGACGCAGGCTTGTCGCTCCGAGCGTTTCAGCCTTGCGGGCTCGCTGTGCAAGTACACGGCACTCTTTAAAATGATGCCGCGCGAGAGGCGGCTTTCAAGCATATGTGCGATGGCGCGCCCCCCTCGGCCTGTCCTATCTACACGTGTATAGCGACGGCGACGTGATCCACAGGCTGCCAAGATCAAATGCCTGGCGCACTGCCTCCTCCCCCTCTCCCTCTTCCTTCTCGCCTTCTCTTCCTCGTCCGCCTGGAGCGCCGAGTTGGACAATGCCAAAGCCAGAGCACCCAGGGTCTTCATCGTGGATGGCGGTTTCTTTGATCTCACAGGCGCGGTCGGGGAAAGGGCCACGCAGGGTAGTGCACACGAGTCTGGGCACTGCGTCGTCGGACGCCGACTCTGATGCTACTCCGACGCCGCCGCCAGGATTAGCGCGGCAGCGCGTTTGCTCGACACAGGCTTGTCACTCCGAGCGTTTCAGCCACTTGCGGGCATGCTGGACAAGCATCCCAGGCTCCTTAAAATGATGCTGCGGGTGGAGCGGTTTTCCACATATGTACACTGGCGCGCGCCCTTTGGCAGGTCCTATCTACAAGCGTGAACCGACGGCGACGTGATCTACATGCGGCCCAGAACAAATGCCCGGCAACTGCCTCCTCCTCCTCTCCCTCTTCCTTCTCGCCCTCTTCCCTCTCATCCCGCTCGCCCTCTTGCGGTTTCGGCAGATCGGTTACCCTGTGCGCTACCAATTTCCACGGCTGCCCCGGCACCCCGCCCCCCGCGCGAACCCCGAACTCCAAAGGGGGGGCGCGCGACTCACCGGATGCCCGGGGTCACCCGCCCCCCTACTACCTTATAACCATTGTCTTCCTCCACCTCCCCCGCCTCCTCCTCCTCACCGTCCCACTCCTGCACCACCACCGCCACCCTGTACCGGACCTCCCGCCTCCGCCGCCCTCTGCAACCCTGCCGACCCCCGAGTCGTCGCCCAAAAAGCCCAATCTACCTCTCTTCCTCCCCGCCGTGTCTGGCTCCTCCTACCCCTCCTCCTCCTGGTCCTCCTCCTCCTGGCCCTCCCCCTTCTTGTCCTGCGCCACCACCCTACTCTTCCCCTGCCCGCCCGCGACCAGGAGATGATCGAACGCGAGGCCGCCGCACGTGGAACCCCAGCGACGAACATGTTCCGCGATCGTCACACCGGATCGCGGAACAATTCGTCAACTGGGATGCCACGCAGGGCAGCCTCGCGTTCGATCATCTCCTGGCCGAGGGGCCCTGAACGCCATAACTGGGCGTTCACGTAGGCCGCGCGGGAGCGCCGGTTTGCCATGAACGGTGCGCTGCGCAGGTTGAACAGCAGGGCACGGGATGATGTCACAATCTTGCCGTAGGCGGCCTCGCTCCCCTGGATGGTCTTGTCGCACTGGCTCCGGGCCTCTGCCTTCTGATTTATTTCTTTGCTCATCTTCTCAAGTTTGTTGATGAGGTTGGCCACCTCCTTCTCGGTATTTTTCTTCAACGCGGTCACTGCCGTGATCTGACGATTCAGCTCGTCGCGCTCCTCGCGAAGACGCTCGAGCGCCTGCCGAATGTCACTGTCGCAGCACTGCATTGATGAGCCGTACACTCGACGACGGGAGTCAACTACCAGGGAGGTCGCAGAGCCAATCTCGGGGGACAGAGACCGACCAACGCTGACCAACGTGGGGAAGCCAAAAAAGGCTTGAGCCCAAATGACAACGGCATTGGCGACGATGACGACACCGATTGCGCAGATGCCGCTCTCGTCGATGCTGCAAGGGGCTCAAAGAGGGGGGGTACTTATCAGGACCGCTCCAACTCCTCCTCCTCCTCCTCCTGCTGATGGTCCTCCCCTCCTCGTCCTCCTCCTCCTCCTCCTCCTCCTCCTCCTCGTGGTGGTCCCCCCCCTCCCCTCCTCCTCCTCCTGATCGTCCTCCTGCTCCTGCTCGTCCTCCTCCTACTCCTGCTCGTCCTCCTCCTCGTCCTCCTGCTCGTCCTCCTTTTCCTGCTCCTCCTCTTCCTCCTCCTCCTCCTCCTCCTCTTCCTCCTCCTCCTCCTCCTCCTGCTTGTCCCCGCCCTCGTTGTGGCCCGGGGGCATCGTGTTCGGGGAAGTGGTAGAGCACGGAGTGGCGCACAGTGGGCTCCGCGCAGTCAAAATGAGGCCCGGGAATGGAGTTCTGGGCAGTCGACGAGCGCGACGTGGCCTACAGTTGGCTCCAGGTGTTCAGAAGAATGTGACCCGGGAGTGGAGTTCTGGGAAGTCGTAGAGCACGAAGTGGCCTATAGTTGGCTCCGGGCATTCAGCATGTGGCCCGGTTGTGTGTGACTGTTGCGTCCGGTTGTCCAAAATGTGGCCCGGGAGTGGAGTTCTGGGAGGTCGACGCGCACGAAGTGTGTGACTGTTGGCGAAACACCAGCCCGGTTCTCGTGTCCCCGGCGGCTGCCCAGACCCCCCTTGTGGAATCATCAGATGCTCTCTTTTGAGACCATAAGAAACCTATCGGTCTTCGCTGTGCGGTAAACACATGGAGGGGCCCAGACCCGAAAGCTGGCCCCGACCTGCTCCACACGGGCGCGTCCGCGACATCCTGAAGAACCCCTGGGCCGAACGGGGGGGCAGCCGTCGGCGCCACGCGGCTACGTGCGCCGCCAGCGGCAACGCGCGCACACACGGAAGTAAAACTTTACATCCGCGGGGCACCCCCCCCAGACACAACCAAGAACGGATAAAGTCGAAGCCGGCACGGACCCACCCACAAGAAGAACAACCGGAGGGGGGCAGATCTATAGTCCAAGATCTACGAGAACACCTGGGAACCGATCTGGGGCTGTGTCCCGCGGTCGCGCCCCCGGGTCACGGTGCGTCTCGTCCCACACCTTGCTACCTTAACCACGGCTCTGCTTGCCCGATCATGCGTGCAGGTGCTTCGTTTTCGTTGGCAACTCCACCCCCACCCCTCGTCTCCTCCACTTCCTCCTCCTCCTCCTCCTCCTCCTCCTCCTCCTCCTCCTCCTCCTCCTCCCGCTGGTGGACCTCTCCTCCTCGTCCTCATCCTCCTCCTCCTCCTCCTCCTCGTGGTGGTCCTCCCCCTCCCCTCCTCCTCCTCCTGTTCGTCCTCCTGCTCCTGCTCGTCCTCCTCCTCCTCCTGCTCGTCCTCTTCCTCGTCGTCCTGCTCGTCCTCCTTCTCCTGCTCCTCCTCTTCCCCCTCCTCCTCCCCTCTTCCTCCTCCTCCTCCTCCTCCTCCTCCTCCTCCTCCTCCTCCTCCTCCTCCTCCTCCTCCTCCTGCTTGTCCTCGTCCTCCTCGTCCTCGTTGTGGCCCGGGAATCGTGTTCTGGGAAGGTGAAGAGCACGAGAGTGGCGCACAGTGAGCTCCGCGCCATCAAAAGGAGGCCCGGGAATGGAGTTCCAGGCAGTCGAAGAGCACGAAGTGGCCTACAGTGGGCTCCGGGCATTCAGAATGTGGCCCGGGTGTGGAGTTCTGGGAAGTCGTAGAGCACGAAGTGGCCGACAGTTGGCTCCGGGCATTCAGCATGTGGCCCGGGAATGGAGCTCTGGGAACTCGAAGCGCAGAGAGTGTTGCGTCCGGGTATCCAAAATGTGGCCCGGGTATGGAATTCTGGGAGGTCGACGAGCACGAAGTGTGTGACTGTTGGCGAAACACGAGCCCGGTTCTCGTGTCCCCGGCGGCTGCCCAGACCCCCCTGTGGAGTCATCAGATGCTCTCTTTTGAAACCATTTCAAACCTATCAGTCTTCGCTGTGAGGTAAACACATGGAGGGGCCCAGACCCGAAAGCTGGCCCCGACCTGCTCCACACGGGCGCGTCCGTGACATCCTGAAGAACCCCTGGGCCGAACGGGGGGGCAGCCGTCGGCGCCACGCGGCCGGCGGCGACGGCGGTAGCACGCGCGCCGCCAGCGGCAACGCGCGCACACACGGAAGTAAAACTTTACATCCGCGGGGTACCCCCCCAGACACAACCAAGAACGGATAAAGTCGAAGCCGGCACGGACCCACCCACGCGAAGAAACAACTGGAGGGGAGCAGATCTAGCACAAGATCTACGAGAACACCTGGGAACCGATCTGGGGCTGCGCCCCGCGGACGCGCTCCCGGGTCACGGCGCGTCTCGCCCCACACCTTGCTACCTTAACCACTGCTTCGTTCTCGTTGGCACCTCCCCCCCCGCCTTAACCACTGCTTCGTTCTCGTTGGCACCTCCGCCCCCACCTCCTCCTCCTTTTCCTCCTTTTCCTTATCCTCCTCCTCCTCCTCCTCCTCTTTCTCTTCCTCCTCCTCCTCCTCCTCCTCCTCCTCCACCGCCCTCCTCCCCCGTCCTCCTCCTCCTTCCCCCCCTCCGTCTTCCCTCCCTCCTCCTCCTCTCCTCCTCCTCCTCCTCCTTCCTCCCTCCCTCCTCTCCTCCTCCTCCTCCTCCTCCTCCTCTCTGCCCCCCATCCTCCGCCTCTTCCTTCTCCTTCCCCTCCTCCACCTCCTCTCTCGTCCGCCTCCACCCTCCTCGTCCTCCTCCTCCTCCTCCTCCCCCCCCTCCCCCTTCTCCCTCCTCCTCCTCCTCCTCCTCCTCCTCCTCCTCCTCCCACCACCTCCTCCTCCTCCCCTTCCTCCTCCTCCTCCACCTGCCTCTCCACCTCCTGCCCCCGGTCGGTTCGACGTAGTCGACTGCTGCGCAGCAACCGGACGCAGCCGACCAGGGCGAAGCCGACAAGGGCGCTGCCGACCGGATGCAGCAGATCGACCCGCCCGTGGACGTCCGGTAGTGTGCCTCGGCGGTCCTTTGTCCATACAGAATCCGTACCGGGAGGGCCCAGGACCCGAAGACGGCACCCGAGGGCCGAACTCAAGGCGAAATATCGGAAGCTCGAGTCTCGACGAAAATCGGAAGACAGCCGACGAGACACCGATGAACTCCAGGCCTGCATCGCGATGACCGTGTTGGCGTCGACAATCTGCTTGACCGGCTTCTGCCAGCGTCTTCCCTCGCGGCGCGCTTGCGCCGGGGAAGGGGGGATTGAAACCGTCGCCAATCACCCTGCCTTCCATTGCCGTCTTCCGCCTTCTCCTTCCTCCGGCTCCACCGTCGACACCTCCTCCCTGAACCCCCCGCCGCCACCCCCAACTCATCATCTCCCCTCCTGCTCCTGCTTCTGCTCCTGCTCCTGCCCCCTCTCCTCCTCCTCCTCTTCTCCCCCCCCTCCGCGCCCTCATCATCATCCGCCCTCCCCCCCCCCCCCCCCCCCCCCCCCTCCCCCGCCTCCTTGGCACTCCTCCTGGGGGCGGCCGTGCGCCCCGGAGGCGGGCGCGCGCCCCGGGAAGGGGGGGGCGAATGCGGCCCCGGGTAGGAGGGGGGGGTGGGGCTCCAAGAAAGCGGCCCTCCAAGAGAGCGGCCCTCCTCCTCCTCCCCCTCCTCCTCCTCCTCCTCCTCCTCCTCCTCCGTCGACACTTCTCTGGGCCAGTCTATGGTGGCCCCGCGGAGCCCGGCAGCCCGCCCCCCCCCACCCTCCCTCGGGAGGCCGCCGACAGGGGAAACCGTCGAAGGTCGAAGGCCGAGGGGCCAACACCGGCGGAGTGGAACCCCGATGCCCCAACAGAATCCATCCGGACCGGGCCTCCGCCCCGGATCGCTGTTCGAAGGCACCAGGGCCTCAAAACGCCCCCCCCCCCCAAGCGCCGAAACCGACGAGAAACCGATGACGACGAGAAGCTCTCGACGCCCCCTCCCCGCCGTCGCCGTCGCCGCCGCCGCCACCGCCGCCGCCGTCGTCGTCGTCGTCGCCGTCGCCGTCGCCGTCGCCGCCGTCGCCGTCGCCGCCGTCGCCGTCGCCGTCGCCGTCGCCGTCGTCGCCGTCGCCGTCGCCGTCGCCGCGGCCGCCGCCGCCGTCGTCGTCGTCGCCGTCGCCGTCGCCGTCGTCATTCTCTCCGGGCCGGCTAGGCCAGACATCCGGCGCTTCGAACTTTGAGGCTCGAACTTCGGGTTTCGAAGTTTTTGGGCGTCTCTCGCCCTTTTGGGGCCCCCTGGGACGCTCTCGTCGCCACGGCCGCTTCGACATACTCCCCCCAAACGCACCCCTGGATCGGTCCGAGGGTCGATTTTTGCCCCCGGACTCAGACGTCCGGCGCCGCGCGCGGCGCAGAGGCGGAACCCGCCCACGCGCCCGCAGAGGGCGCGTCACAGAAACGCTTGGATGGGCCCGTTTTCCCCCGCCGCTACCACAAGTAGGAGGGGGAGGAGGGAGGGAGGAGGGGGGGGAGGAGGGGGGGGAGGAGGGGGGGGAGGAGGGGGAGGAGGAGGGGAAGGAGGAGGAGGAGGGGGGGGGGGGGGGAGAGGAGGAGAAGGCCCTCCCCTCCCCCCCCCACCCCCTCCGCCTCCCCGCCCTCCTCATACCTATGGCAGCGGCTGGGGAATATCGGCCCACCTCGGCATCGCCCGGCGCATCCTGATGATGCTGAAGAGGAGGTGGCAGATATAAGGAGCGCTTCCCCGAGGCCGGGACGCGCTGCGAGACACCGCGCCCGTTCAGGACCCCGCCTCCGCGATCAGCCGCCGCTTGCGCCCGAAGGTGATCGTGCGCAACGGCTCCGGCGAGGCCCCGTAAGCGTCTTGCTTCCACGCGCAGAGTTGCGGCAGTACGTCCTGAACATCAAAGCGCGGCGCCCGGGGCCACAGAAGACGAATGCGTTTCGCCACGAGGCGCACGCGCAAGCTCGCAAGCGCTTTGCTGTTCTTCTCGGGGGTGGGCGAGCGCAGGCGCACCCCCCAGACACGCCCCCCATCGCGAACCCCCCCAGCCCCAGGAAAACCAATTATGCTAACGGAGTTCCCCACATGAGAACGTTTTTTGAGTCCTGGGCTCTCGCCCTCCCTAGAACCCCCCCTCCCTGGAGGGGTGGGCGGGGCCTCCCTGGAGGGGCGGGTAGCACAGAATCTGATAAATAGCATGGTAAACGCACGCGCCCCACGCTCTAGCGGGGCCTCCCTGGAGGGGTGGGAGGGGCACGAAACCTGATGAATATCATGATATTCAAATGCCCCCCTCGCTCTGGCGGGGCCTCCGTGGGGGGGCGGGCGGGGCGCGAATCCCAAGAAATAGCACGTGATCCGAATATCCTCCTCGCTCAGGCGGCGCCTCCCTGGAGGGGTGGGAGGGGCGCGAAACCTGATAAATAGCATATGATCCGAATACCCTCCTCGCTCAGGCGGGGCCGCCCTGGAGAGGTGGGAGGGGCATGAAATCTGGCACATTGCATGTGATCCGAATACCCTCCTCGCTCAGGCTCGGCCCCCCTGGAGGGGTGGGAGCGGCACGAAACCTGATAAATAACATGTGATCCGAATGCCCTCCTCGCTATGGCGGGGCCTCCCTGGAGAGGTGGGAGGGGCACGAAACCTGATAAATAGCATGCGATCCGAATACCCCCCTCGCTCAGGCGGGGCCTCCTTGGAGGGGCGGGAGGGGCACGAAACCTGATAAATAGCATGGTAAACCGAAGACCCTCCTCGCTCAGGCGGGGCCTCCCTGGAGGGGGGGGAGGGGCACGAAACCTGATAAATTGCCTGTGATCCGAATACCCTCCTCGCTCAGGCGGGGCCTCCCTGGAGGGGTGGGAGGGGCGCGAAACCTGATAAATAGCACGCGATCCGAAGACCCCCCTCGCTCAGGCGGGGCCTCCCTGGAGGGGTGGGAGGGGCACGAAACCTGACGCATAGCATGTGATCCGAATACCCTCCTCGCTCAGGCGGGGCCTCCCTGGAGGGGCGGGACATGCGATCCGCATACCCCCCTCGGCCTCCCTGGAGGGGTGGGAGGGGCGCGAAACCTGATAAATAGCAAGTGATCCGAATGCCCTCCTCGCTCAGGCGGGGCCTCCATACACGAAACCTGAGAACACGAAACCTGATAAATAGCACGTGATCCGAATACCCCCCCCCGCTCAGGCGGGGCCTCCCCGGAGGGGTGGCAGGGGCGCGAAACCTTGCAAATAGCAAGTGATCCGAATACCTTCCTCGCTCTGGCGGGGCCTCCCTGGAGGGGCGGGAGGGGCACAGTACCTGATAAATAGCATGTGATCCGAATACCCCCCTCGCTCAAGCGGGGCTTCCCTGGAGGGGCGGGAGGGGCGCGAAACCTGATAAATAGCATGTGATCCGAATACCCTCCTCGCTCAGGCAGGGCCTCCCTGGATGGGGGGGGGGGGGGGCGCGAAACCAAATAAATAGCATGCGATCCGAA